ATTACTTTCCTTTCCTGCTTGTATAGTAAGAATGAGGCTCCAGAATAAAGATGACTATTTAAAGAGGGCTGCTGCCATTCCAAATTGCACAGAGAAAGTTCTGCATATCAAATTAATTTGTTTACTTGGTAAGATCCTCACTGGAATTTTTGTTACCAGTCATCATGGACCCACAGAAGTGGGTCCACTGCGAATCCATGATCATACAGCTTTTAATCCTGTGAATAATTCTTAGGCATACAACTATTCATAGGATTATTGAGGTGACGAATGATTAGATAATCCAGTGTGTGTGCATCGACACAGTTTGCTGTTGCTTGACTGTTTGTACAATGCTACGTGGGTGTGTTTTATCTCGCTGGAAGTGCTCTGGGTTCCAGGGGGACGTGGGATGGCTGTGTAGTGCTTGGTTGCTGCACCCTGCAGGGACTGCCAGGTATTCTGAATTTGCTCTTTGCGTGTGCCCTGGTCCAGGATTCTGGCCTCCGTCTGAGCAAGAACGCTACTAGGCAGCCTCTCACTGTGGGATAAGAGGGAAGGAGGAAAGTGGATGTTGTAAAACAGACACAAAAATTGAGGACTGATTTGTCATCCTCATTAATATTCGGGAGCATAGGTAGCTCACTCTTCCGGTACTTTTGTTTTGCTGCAAGGTTGCACAGGGATGATAAAGCTAAGTATTTCCATGAGGTGAAGGAAGCCCGGTCCAGAGTGGAGAAAGCATAGCTGCTGCTGCTGCTTTTCTCAGTGTGGCTGTGTGCTGAGCCATGCCGGAGGTGGAAGGGCAGTTTGGCTGGGGCACTAAGACGCGGTGCACTTGGAGCAGTAGGCACACAGCTACCCTTGCCTGTTCCCTCTGCTGCCCAGCCTGCTCACCTCAAGTGTTGAGAGACAGTGAGAGATAGCACCCAATCCCACCTCAGTGCTGACCCTGGTATTGGTAGGATAAATACCTTTGATAAGGCACATGATGTATTAGAATTAATGTATTTAACTGTAAGTATCAAATGTATTTACATACCTTTCATAAAGTTTTGTATTGAGATGTTCCAGTTTGCAGCCCACAAGCTAGATGTGGCCTGTCGGATAATTCTGTCGCAATTAGGCACTTAGCCTGCCTGAGCAGGTCCCTGAACTGGCCAAAGCCTGCTCTCCTGAAATCCAGGGTTCTCATCCTGCTTTTTGCTTCGCTCCTTCTTCTCTGGATCCTGAACTCCACTATAGGTAGCTCATAAAGATACCTCCGACTGGTATCTGGCTCAGCACTGAAAGGACTGGACTACTTAGCTTTAAAGCAAATGGTGCAGTCAATAGATTCAGATTAAGATTCTGCGTGGGCTGGTGTGAACCTGGATTTCATCTGGTCCGGTCATCTCATCGTAGTGGCTCTTGATATTATTGGCAGCACTTGTCTGCAGCAAACACATTCCCTGTAGCCAACACACAGCTGATGCACAGACCCGCAGCTCTGTCTTTGCAAATACCTGCATTAATCAGGCAGGTGAGGTGAAGGAGGCTGCTGTTGACCCCAAGTGCTTGCAGATGGCAGCATTCTGCTCAGGGTAGTCCCCGTTCACCGTGTTGCTTTTCTTACTTCCTTCTGGCTCAACGCTGAGCGTTGCCAAGATCAAGCTGCTTTGCAGGGCCAGTGAGATGTGGAGAGCAGCATAGTGGCTTCCCCATCGTAAAGACTGTTTCAGTGGGCACAGCTTGATGGGTTACTATAATTTCTGATGGCAGGCTGGGACCACATTAAGAGGCCTGGTAGGAAATGGCTGAACCGAAGGTCTTGCATCCAATCTGTGCTAAGCTGAATTGAATTTCGATAATTTTCCTGTATGGAATAGCAATCTGAATGGGATTATCGGAGACAGTGTATCTAGGGGATCTTTCCCTCACTTAACTGGTAGATGCCTACAGCTGGTGCTGGGGAATGGGACTGCTGAGCTTTCAGGTAACTGGCATTGTACTCTCAACTGGTCAGGGCTTTTGAGCATGGTGTCATCACTGGCACTGCTGGCATGGTGATCCTTTCAGTCAAGCCTAGCTACCCTGGAAGCATTGGCAGACCAAGTGATCAGGGTGACATGGATCCCAGTGTGGCTGTGTGGGCTGACTAGACAGCATGTCATGAAAGTTGAGAGAGTAGTGTAGGGTGAACAGAGATGAGCACAATGAAAGCCTGAATGACAGAGATGCAAAGAGTAGGTCTGAGCAATAAAAAAACGTGAACCAAGTACATCTTAAAGCAACTTTATACTTTGTTAGCCATGGATATACATACCATAGTCTGTAGCCTGACCATAGTCAAAACAGGTGGAGTATAGCTGTGAACACACTTGTGCATGAGAGTATGAACAGCAACATTTTCATGGGTCAGTACCTGGGTATTGGTGTCTGTGGCAGGATTTTTAAAAGAGCCTAAGGACTGGGAAATATTTGAGCAGTTTTCTTTTTTTCTTTTTTTATATTGCTGCAACTCTGGGGGTGCATGTCATTTCATGGAGCAAATGTGCTTTGCATCAATACAGCTTACCTGTCCGAAAGATTCGGTGTGAGTACCTTTAATGGGAGAGGAATTACATCCCACGCATGAGAATTTTACTCTGCTGAGGCATGAAGCAGAATCACTTGTCTGTGTAGGTAGACAGGTTTGGCAGTTTGGGTGATATGCAGATTATCACAAGGTAGACAACAGGGAGGACTGAGCTTTTGCTAACAAGACAAGATATAGACCTACAGGGACCAAGTGCAAATGAATAAACAGTGGGTTGTCTGGCACCTCAAGTCAAGTGAGGATGGGGACCTGATGCAATCACACAACTCCAGACCATAAACCTTTTCCTGGTGGTGACTTCAGCCCTACCATGAACTGCATGTACTCTTCAGTAGAGTCCTGTTGGTGGTCTGCCCACATTCATACGTCTCCTTTGCTTTCAGTAAATTTAGTTGAAGTCTGCAGAGTGCCTTTCTGCTTGTGCTGGGTCGAAATAGATTTTAAAGATTCCAGTGCTGGTCTGATTGACAAAATGCTGTGTTTCTTTCAGAGAAAGCGGAGTAGTGGGGGGAAGAGAGAGTGCGAGAGAGAAAGTGCAATCAGTACAGAATCCAGGAGGGTCAGTGATACAAAAGGAAAATTAAAGGAAGACGGGGACGTGGGTAAAAGAGGATAGGAGGGGAGACAGCAAATTTGTAGGGGGGGGAAAAAGCTTTTAGCTGAAAGCAAATTTGCTATTAACTTAATGAAAAATGACGTTTTGGAATGACAGTTTGTAAAATAGTGCCAGATTCTGAGAATGGCTCTGGACTACAGACATGCATACACACATGCGTGCACACACAAACACATACATACAAAGGTGGGGAAATAAAAGTAAAATAATAAATCGTGTTCACATTTTCAGACTAAAATTACTTATTATTAAATTAGCCCTTTAAATGTTAAGCAAAGTTTTTAAGGGAAATTTTAGAGCAGATTATGTGACTAAACATGAAATAGGTATTTGATTTTGATTTGACTAAAGGATTATTGGAAATTATTTTTGTCTTGTTGAAGATGAGGAAAAAAACATTGTTTTGAAACACTGACAAACAGGAAAAACAACCATCAGAGAAATGTGATAACCAAAGTCTGCCTTCTGCTGGAGGTACCCTGGCCCTGTCCATAGCTGAAAGATGTCAGTGAGGCTCCCTTGGCTTTAATGCAAGTAAGCTGGTTTTACCAGAGCTGGTGGTTGCTTGACTGTCTATGTTACTCAAACTGGTCAGAGAGAGAAGAATCATATTCCCAAAGAAGAGTACCCCCTTAAGGGCCAAGTGCTTGTCTTCTTGTTCACTGTGATATTTGTTACTTAACCTGAGATGGTTTTTGTTGGTTTGTTTGGTTTTAGGTTTTTGTTTCATTGTGGTGTTTTTGGTTGTTTTTTTTTGGGGGGGGGCATATGTTTTGAGAAGGAAGAAACAAAGGCAGGATTTAAAGAAGGAAAGTGATATCTGGGTTAAGGCAAACACGAGCCTATTTGCTTGCTGTTTTGGTTCCAGAAAAGATGCTTCACAGAAACTCAGTTTCTGTCTCTCTGTAGTGCCTTTTGTGCTGTGTTTTGTGGTGTTATCCACAAGGATTGATTCATGTTCCCAGTGAGAGCTGTTATTTGCCCCATTACAAGGTGACATGTGATACAAGAGTACCTAATCCCCTTAATTCATATTCATTTTTTAGGCCGCTCTGTGAATTTCCGCTATCTGTAGAAGACCATACTACCCCATAGCACAATGAAAGTTACTGCAGATGGTAGTATAATACATAAACTCTCACTTGTACCTCCAGATCGTTCCCTTATTTATCGCAAATTAATCAGAGCAGTAGATGCTCCCTAGCCCCTTCTCTGTCCTATCAGTACTAGCTGGCTGGACAGACCATGCTCTAATGACTCCAGGCCAAGCTTCAGCTGCCTCTCAAGTGTACGTAGGTGTTTGTCCCAGACAAAGGGGGAAAGGTTGGCAATGGAGGAGGTAAAGAAACAAGTGAGCTTTCTCACCACGCTTTGGAGTTGCTCTCATATTCAGAGAAAGCCAAAGACTAACAATGAAATAGAAAGGAAGCAAGGGAGGGGTATGTGTGTGGGTAGTGTGTGCAAAGCTTTCTTCCAGCTCTCCACTGAGCCATGACCCGGTTTCTCCAGGAGCTGCCTGCTGTTTTCTTATTTTCAAAGCAAGTTCCTGAGACAATGCTTTGCATGCCAAACAGGGTCAGCCGCTCAGATAGTAAGGGTTCTGAACTGGACATGCAGCTCCCTTTCCATCTTCTCTAGTGCCTCGACTGCTCCTTTTTTTTCTTCTTTTCCTTCTGTTTTCCCTTTCCTTGTTCAGAATAAGGAAACAAAGTTAGTTCTTACGTGTGTACAGAAAACAAGGGGAACTTTCAGGGGTATTGGATGAAATTTATTGCAGTGACTGCTAGATGCTGATTTTTATTGTTATTGTTATTGTTATCTTGACAGAATCCAAGAAGAAGAAAAAGGAAGGCAAGAAACAAGAGAAGATGCTGGATTAATGGAGCCAACTTGGGCAATGTGAGAAAGGGACATCAGCAAACATGATCAGTTAACAGTTTCATTTATACCTAGGCATTTTATCCTAAAATTATTTATAGCTTAATGGTACCATAGAAAGAAACAAACAAACACAGAAAAAAAAAATCCTTTTTTTATTACTTTAGTATTTTTAATGTATAACCCTAACAACAATTTTTAGAGGCCTGTAATAAAGGACTCCAAACTCATTTAGAAAATTATGTCTATTGTATATTGATCAATGTAGAGGTTTTAAAGATATTTTTTTTCTCAAGTCTTGCCATAGGTCTCAATCTGGTAATTACTCCATGCGAGCAGAACCTGAACCTGTGTGGAGCTGTGCTGAAGCCAGTGGTGCCCTGTGTGAACATAGGAGTCTGGCTGGATGCAATTATATTTAAGATTGGGACCTTATATCCGAAAAAACCCAGACTTGTTTCTTAAGTTCTTACTATATCTGGACAACTGTATTGAAATTATTTGTTTAAGGAAAGGATGGGGGCATTTTGTAGAGTATTTACAGGGATAGAATTTTTTTGGATGTGTGGTGAATGTTCATTCCAAAATGCCACCATTTCCAGGTAAAAACCAGTAGTACTCGTATCCTTGGCCATATTTGGGATGTCAGCAGTAAAAATTCTGAAATCTTTCAACAGTTGGACATAGAAGAGTGCTAATTTTTCACGATTTTCTAGCAATGATTTTTTCAAGTGGATTGATAGCAAAACTTTCCATTTTTTTAGCATATCAGTGCTGGTGGATGGTAGTGTCCTCTGTTTTAACAACAAAAGCTGAAAAATGCTTTCTTTTATTTGTGTATTTTGCCAGAAGGGAGAATATCCTTTTCACAAAAATCTAGTTGAAATTGTTGCGATTCTGCCTGACCCAACTCCCTTTTGTATCAGTGGGAATCTTCCTGTTGATTTTAATTATAGCTGGTTGAAAAATAGCATGTCTGGTGGGAAGTAAACAGAAAAAATCTGTTTGGAAACTGCCTGGGATAGTTCATATTTTTGACCAAAAAAGGGACAATTTGTGGGACTTGAAACCAATAGGAATGAAATTAATTTTTGTTTCTCTGTTAGTAAAGCAGAAGGGAAATACAAAACCAGTACCTTTTGCTTTCTTCCATTTTTATATAAGCAAAAAGACCTTGGAAAAGCTTAGTCAAAATAAAAATAGTTCTGTGATTTTTATTTTTTTTTAATGGTCTACAGGGAAAAAAAAAGAAAAATAACCAGCTGGTTTTCAATTTTTTCAATTGTACCTATTTTAAATGATAATGAGTCCTGAGAAAAGTCACAAAGTAGAAAAAAGATCTGACAAAGGGCTGGTCTGTCGCCAGGTAAAGGGTTGTTTAACAAACTAACCAACGAGCAGACCAGACTTTTTAGAGGAAACATAAGGGATTTCAGTGCCCAAATTAATTTCAAAATCATTGCTTTTAAATTCTAAATCTTAAAATTCAACAGCAAGAAACAAGCTTTGCCATTTGTGTAGGCTTCAGGCTTGCCTGCTAGTCAAGAGCAATAGTCTCCCTTGTACTGCTGTGGGTACCCACTGACTTCAGCGAAGCTGTAGCAGGGTGTGTTCATCTGAGTAAATCACATTGCTCTCTTGGGGTTAGCTGGTAGACGAGCAGAGTGTCTTTTTCCAGACTAACATCACTCCCCTTTTTTATGTAAAAAAATTTATAACAATTGCAGAGCTTGCTCTCTTTTTCTCACATGGAGGGTATGGCTGATCTGAACTCACAGTGAGGCAAGTCCTTCTGTAGACGTTCCCAAACCCTTTTGAAGCCAGCTAGCCAAGGCTGCACATAGCTCAAGATAGACTAGCCACACAGTTATTTCCCAGACTCCTTGGCTGTGTTTTGCAGTCTGTGTCGATGTCCTTGTTATTTTGACTATGCTGTTAGACATACCTGAGCCAGTGGTATAGTTTAAAATGCCCCCAACATGTGGTGGATGTGCAATGACCAAATCCAAAATCATAAAGGCTCATATTTGGGTGGTTCTGGGTGCTATTTGGTTTGTTCATGGTCTAATCAGGTCTACCTGTGCTTGTGCCTCAGACTTAAACTAATGGATTGGTAGGTCTGATTGAAAGCAAAGGGAGAAAGAAGCTTTTTCACTCACCAAAGGTTTGTCTGTCTAAATGCTGCATCAGTTCACTTAAAGTGGTTCAGCTTTGAGTGCAAACACTGTTGCACCATTGTCTTACACTGGTTAATCTAGTCCATGTCTCATAGGGAGCTGGCAGGAGTTGGGAATGATGTTGAGACCAACAGTTTGAGTATCCTTTAGTAAACCTTAGATGTGACTTCTGATTTCCACCTCTGTGAGTAAGAAGAAAAATAAATTCCCCTGTGTTTCCTCTGACACCTTATGGCCCTTATGATTAATTGCCCATCTGGCTTGTTAAAGGAACATTCCTAATCATTTTTGAATGCTTTTTGAAGGAGGCCAGTCAAGTTCCTATGGTGGTGTAGGGCCTCCATGGAGAGAGTTTACAGAAAACAGAGAAACAAACAACAAAATACGATGTTAGGACCAGAAGGAAGGCAGCAGTCCCGGTAGCAAAGGGTGTGAAATAGGAGAACACTTCCTCTGTACTACCAGCCTCATATGTTTGGATCTATAGTGGTATCTTATTGTTGACAATAATTGGAGTTGTATCTGTCATAGTTTGTAAATAATGAAGAAAATGTCCAAGAAACCAGCAGAAAACACTCTGTGGAAATTCTGGCTATGAAGGAGATGATAGAAGTAATTCATGGCAGAACACAGAGGAAGACTGAATAGAATAGGTCAGTCAGGTCAGCTCTGAAAGGAAGTACCTGGTACCTAACAGGAGCAGTTGCTTCACTGGTGATGATATCAAGAAAGCAAGCGGCAAGTATCTGAACAAAACCTCTTCCCATCCTATCTTGCTCAGTTTCCACTTGAGTCATTCTGAAATTTCTCCTTATTTGCTTTCTAATCTTCTACCCTCCCTCCTTTGGGAGGGCAAGCTTGTCTGACCATGCTGTGGGGGCGGCTACTTCAGATGATACATGTTTTACCTTCTTGGTGCTATCCTGTTACAATGGAAAATGACATAGCATAAATGTGTTGCTTAGCTACTTTAACCGACTGAAGATTGTTTGACAAGTGGCCCTCTCGAGGTGTGGTTTCCATCTTCATTTGCTACAGCTGTAATATGGTATGGGGAGATGATAGAAATTCCCCAAATGACAGCCTTTTTCTGAGCACTCAAATCTCTTAGAAAAGAGAGGGGTGAGTTACTGAACATGCTAAGGATGAATCTGCATCCAGACTCTGGATTCTAGCAAGTTTTAAATTAGGGGAATTTGCTCTCTTCCCTTCCTGTAAGTAGCCTGAGCCATGCTTCTAAGCAATTAGGCCTGTCTATATCTTGATTCAAAACAATATTTGAGCATTGGGGCATTTTCTGACTTTGACGTGTCTCCTGACAGAAGTGCCCATATTGAAAGAGAATCGTTGCTTGTCAGCCTGGCATATTTAACAGACTATTAAGCAAAACTATAGGGCGAGGCTCCAGGAAGGGAAAACATTTGTTGTACATGCAGGTAGATACAAAGTTGTAGCTTACTGATTCTCATCTTCTAATTCCGTAATGACATTGTGGACTGTACTAGTTTTCAAAGGAGAAAAATCAGAAGAAATGAAAGAATAATAATTATAAAACATATCAACAGACAGTATTGGAGACTTTGTCAAGAGGAGACAGGTGTGAAGTCAGGAGCATTTTATACACACTTCTTTTGCATGCTCCTTGAGTAGGGAAGGCAGGATTACTGGCTCACATTTGTTTTTATGCTTTGCTTGATTTGTGCCTTAATGAAAACTAGTCAAATGTAGAATGTTACAGAGAAGTAAAGTCCCACTCCAGCCTCAAAAAAACATGTCCAACAGGAGGCAATGTCAAAAGGAGACAATAGTATGTCTGTCTTTTCTGGTTTAGGAGTGCAAGTTATGATGTTGATAGGAGAAAACATATTTCTTTAACTTTGGTGTATATCCTTCACCACTTGTCACGTGGCAATGGACAATTCAAGTAAAACAATGGAGCATTAGGATGAACTAAGGGAAGGTGAATACCTACAGAGACTGTTTATGGAAACAGGCCTATAAAACCCCTGAAACTAACCATGCTGCTAGCAGGGAGTGTCTGAAGATAAACATTGTGTAGCATTCCCATTTATTTAATGAAATCCCTTAACATATGATGACCTTTATCTGAGCTTCCTTAGTCTAATATCAATAATGAGTGGGACAAAAGCCAGCCTGACTTTCCCTCAGTCTAGGAACTGCAACAACATTAACAATGTAAACCTGCCACTTTCCTAACGCAAAATATTGGTGAGGTACACCATTTTGACATGACACAGTAGTCTTTCACATCTCCTAAATTCTTATAGGAAGGGAAAGCAGTATGTCAATGGGGGTAGGTATCTCATATTCAATCTTTTTAAACTCTCTAAGACAGCATCTTCTGTGAACTTCTGACTGTGTTATCTCCTTTGCAGGGACAGATTATACCTGTTGTCTGCCTTCCCCCACTCATCCCTTTCTGTCAATTCTGTTAAGGAACTCTACCTCTCAGCCAAACGTTTTTGGATATTGTTGATCCTTCCTCATGCTTGAGGCTGCATTCTCCATTTCTTGCTGGATTGTTGCAAAACAGCCCCAGCAAACCCCTACCATCAGGTACCTGTCACTGTGTCCTTCTAAGATTTAAAGACAACAGTAGCAACTTGTTAATCAGAAGATGACAATGAACAAGGACATATGAGAATGAGCAAAGAGATTCCCTGGATTCATTGGGAGGGTGGCTTGCTGGTAAAACCTTTGTCATAGCTCAGCCTGGGTGAGGCCTCCTAGGGGAGAGAAATGCATCATATTTGACAGAAAATTAGAGACAATGATGAAAGAGTAAAAAATGTCTGCCTTCAGACAGAAAAACACCTTAGCTGGATAAACAGTGGCAAGAAGCTGCATCCTTTCCCACTCTGTCCTCTTTTATCATCAAATTAAAGGGAAGAGACATGGCACATAGAGCTTCAGGGATAGTGGAAGACTTGCCTAAGCAAAGTAGAGCATGGAGAGAGCCCAGTGTCTCCTGGCCTTTGAATCACTCAGCGTTGAGTGAGTCCCCTTTGAAAGAACTGTACCTACTGTTCTTATTCCTTTCTTAAAAAAAAGCACAATAACAAACAAAACCCACAACAAAACTGAAAGCATGTGTCCTATGTATGAATGTACTGATGAGATAAAACAGAGGCTCCCAAGTATTCCCATTTCAGAAGGTCATTCAAAGTTAAAGGCTGTAGAAAAGCTTTAGCCCTGAATTCTGTGATGTAAAGTTAGGAAAATGGATAACCTCTGCAGGGCTGTCTTACCTGTACCCAATTTCATTCAATTAATTGCACTGTTTGAATTCCCTCACCCTAATCTACCTGGCAACAAGGCATTATTTAACTTTTCTTATTAGGTCATTCATTACACTTCCCATATTATAATTATGTAGTTCATCTAGATTTTTACAGCTGAAGGAAATGGCTCTGATAATCCAGAGTGTGTTGTGGTTGCTGAGGGGACCTGAAGCAGAGGCAGGCTAGTACTGCTGTAGCTTGGAGCTAGAAACCACCTAATGAGGATGCCAGCATCAGACACAGCAGAT